TTTACTAACAGGGTTGTTGTGAGAATCAAATAAGATAGAATATGGGAAATAGTTTTTTTTTAAACCTGTATAAATGTAAAATTTTTTTTTTATTAAGCTAGATTTCTGGGGTGTCCATGACTTAATCTAGATTTGCCCTGGAGACGAATAGGAAATGGCATTTGATGCCTGTGGTAGGTTCCGTACAAGTCATGCTGTTTGGTCTGGCCAAACATTATAGACTTGACCAAGTCACAGAATACTAGAATTAACTCAATTCAAGAGTTAGAAGGCACCTCAGTGCTATTTAAGGAATTCCCACTATAACATCTGACAAGTGGTCAACCAACCAGAATCAGGAGATTTGGGTTTAAATCCCTCTTCTGACGCCTACCATTTGTGCCTCTTTGGATAAGTCACTTAATTCCTTAGGCTTCCATTCCCTCATGTGTAAAAAGAGGGGATTAGACTAGTTGGCTTATAATGAGGTCTGTTACAACTCGGAATCCATGATTTTGTGACATCTCCAGTCTACCCCCTATGTTCCAAGACAGCCATTCTACTTTGGGACAGTGAATTCCTTGATTGGATATATTATCTCAGTTTAGTCCCAGAAGAATCAGGAGATGATGTGGATTCAGACCTGTTATTTCCACCTGGGGTTTGTGCAGATGTTCCTGGAGTTCAGAAATATCAGGGATTGAGACATCATCAGGATAGATATTGGTGCTACTACAGTAAGGAAAGGATGTATTCCATTAACATGTTAGATATCATACTGTTAAATAAAACATAGGAGAAAGCAGTGTTGCACTGCTGGTTAACATTTTACGTATTTTTAAAAATTAACTAATTTCTTTTTAGTTTTCAACATCCACTTTTATAAGATTTTGAGTTCTAAATTTTTCTTCCCTCCCCCCTCCCCAAGGCAGCATGCAGTCTGATATAGGTTGTACATGTACCATCATATTAGACATATTTCCACATTAGTTATGTTGTAAAAGAAGAATCAGAGCAAAAGGGAGAAACCACAAGAAAGAAAAACAACAAAGAAAGAGAAAATAGTATGATGCAGTCTGCATTCAGACTCCATAGTTCTTTCTCTGCAGGTGGATAGCATTTTCCATCATGAATCTTTTGGAATTGTCTTAGAATATTGCATTTCTCAGGAGAGCTAAGTCTAACAAAGTCAGCCATTGCACAGTGTGGTTGTTACCGTGTACAACGCTTTTCTGTTTCTGCTCACTTCACTCAGCATCAGACCATACAAGTCTTTCCAGGTTTTTCGGAAATTTGCCTGCTCATCATTTCTTGTAGCACAATAGTATTCCATTGCTTTCATATACGACAACTTGTTCGGCTATTCCTCAATTGATGAGCATCCCCTCAATTTCCAATTCTTTGCCACCACAAAAAGGGCTGCTATAAGTATTTTTGTACATGTGGGTCCTTTTCTCTTTTTAATGATCTCTTTGGGTTATAGACCTAATAGCGGTATTGCTGAATCAAGGGGTATGCACGGTTTTATAGCCCTTTGGGCATAAGATATAAAACATTTTTTATATTAATTTATTTTGATTTATCAACAATCACTTCCATATGCTTTTGAGTTTAAAATTTTTCTCCCCCTTCCTCCCCACCACCCTCCTCAAGATGGCACACAATCTGATATAGGCTATACATATATATTCCTATTAAACATGTTTTCATATTAGTGAAGATCTTATATTTTAAACAATACAGTCAGTAACTATTCAACAAAAGCAAAGTGACATGATGCAGTGGAAAGTAGGTTAGACCAGAACTACGTTCAAGTCTCAGCTTTGTCAGTTGCTTTATAACCTTGGGCAAGTCACTTTAGTCCTTAGTTTCTTCATCTGTCAAATGAGGGAGGACATTGGACTAGATAACATTTCAGGTTCTCTTCTAGTTCTGAAATTCTATTAATTGAGTCTGCTTTTAAGAGCAGAAATTATTTTTCACATCTGTTCTAGCTAACATTTAAGGTAGATACTTAATAGTACCAGTAGGATGAATGATGGTGAAAATTACAATAATTACCATTAAATTGCTAGTAAGCATTCTAAGCACTATTGTTCCGTGGTCTCACAGCATTACAATACACACTTCACGTAATAGCTTTATTCCAGAATGTTAAAGTAATATTACATGCTTTTAAAAGGATTTTACTGTACCTTTAAATAAGGTCTGTGAGATCTTTAAATACAGAGGAATGTGTTACATTAAATTACACCTTTGAAGACTAATTGTGTATTTTACCTGTTGGTAAATTAGTTATTTATTAGCTTCTATACTAGATTTTGGGAATGACATACAAGGGATCAATTTTGATGATAATGCTTTCTTAGAGTCCTTACCTCAAAGAAGCTTAAAGCAATTTACAACTTTAATTTTCTCAATATCACTGTGACAAATAAGGGATAAATATGCTCATTTTAGCCAACTTTCCTCATCTACATTGGGGCATTAAGTGAAATTCCTGAGGAGATTCAATTAACTGATAGCAGTGGAAATAAATTTGGAGTCATTGTTCATTATGGATTCTTTGTACACCAATTCCCTTCTACACAAGACCCCAGATCCTAAAAATAAGTCAGAGATAAAATCCAGTGTCAGCAAGAGTTTGGAGAAACAGGCACGCTATGATACATTGTTGGTGGAGCTGTAGATTGTAGAAAACATTTTGGAGAGCAATATTGAAACAATAAGAAAGCATACTTTTCAACTTGGTAATTCCCTTGTTAAAACTATCCCAAATACATCATTTAAAAAGGCATTATAAAAAAATTTCATAGCTGCTGTTTTTGTAACATCAAAAAACTCAAGGCAACCTCTGTTTCCAACAAGTAGAAGGTGACCAAAAATACTGTATCATATTATATTAATAAATTAATATAAGTAATATTCTGGTCAGTCAGTAAGTATTTATTAAGCACTTGCTATGTGCCAGGCACTGTGCTAAGCACTGGTGATACAAAGTATGGCAAAAGATAGTCCCAGCCCTCAAGGAGTTCACAGTCTAATAGTGACAGAAAAACTGAGAACTGACCTATGGCAGAAGCTATAGAAAAGCCTATGCAGGATAAGGTAGAAAATAATCAACATAATCAGAACTGTATACACATTGGCTACAATTATATGTAAGAAAAGAAAGAAGAAAGAAAAATGAAACCAAAGATGAGTGTTTCATGTGGACTTGGGAAAAGGACAAAGGAAATGCACATACGTACATACATACATACATACATGCAAATATATCTATATACACAATGTATATGTATGTATATTTATGTGCATACATAGATAGGTATGTGTCAATAATGGAATATGATATAAAACAAATATGTAGTGTATAAAATGTATGGTATAAAAATATGTATATGTACATATATACATGTATGTTTGTTTTATTTTTCATTCTTCCTTATTAAAATCTGGAAGACCAGGATGGGATTTTGCCCTACATTTTGTGTGTTGTTGGTTTACAGTTGGGTTCACAATTTAAAAAATTTTTTTTTAAAAAGTCGTTCAGGTACCGTAAAACCTTGACTGTCTTGAGCCCTTAAGAACATCCGTGTTCTAGATAACTGAGGTTTTTATGCATTTAAGTACCAACATATTTTTTATTTTAGCTATATTTGAACAAAAAAAGTATTGTCTTTTGTTTATATACTACACTCCTTTATTGAGATACACTTCTCTCCCCTATTGAACCCTGCCTTGTAACAAAGTAAAACCAGTTAAGCAAAATGCTTATAGATCATGAAATCTGATAGCATAATCTTTACTGGAAATTTTTCTACCGAGAGGAGTATATTTTAACCCTTTTTATGTAGGTCTCTCTAAAACATATACTTCCTTGCTTCCTTAGACAAGGTGATTTTAAGAGTGATTTATCAGTCAAGTCTGATTTTAAAGTAGACTATACCTTTTGTGTCTGTTCTACAAAGCATTTATTTTTTAAATCAAATTTTATTATTTTTAGTTATCAAGTTTTTTCTCCTATCTCACTTTTTCCAACTTCACTGCAAGGGATGGGGGTGGGGGCGGGAGCGCACCGGTGGTGGATAAAAAACCGTTGTAACAAATGTACACGATTGACCAAAATAAATTCTCCTGTTGGCCATGCCCAAAAACATGTCTCCTTCTGCAGTCTTCCTCACGTTTCTGTTGGTGGGGGTAGCATGCTTCATCATCAGTTCTCCAGAATCATGGTTGATCATTTTATTGACCAGCATTCCTAAGTCTTTTAGAATTGTTCATGTTTGCGATGTGGTTGCTATAGTATAAATTACTCTTCTAGTTTTGCTCCCTTCCTTCTGCATCGGTTCATACAAGTCTTCCCAGGTTTCTCCGAAACTCTTTCTTCATTTCTTACAGCACAATAATATTCCATTACCTTCAGATGCCAAAGTTTGTTTTCATGTTTTTTTTTAAAGTTTTTTTTAAAGTAATATCTTTTCTTGCTGTCAGTTGTCAATTTTTATTGTTGTCAGTGTGTCTTTCTTAAGAAATCCCCCTTCCCTCTTCTAATTTGCTGCTTCTGCTCCTGTGCGTTTGGCTATGAGTAAAATTATTAGAATTTTTCCTAAAATAAAAATAAAATGGCCCAGAATTACAGTCTGAGAAACTTTCCAGTGAGTAAAATGCATGAAGTTTAATTGCATAGTCATTGTGTTCAATTTTGCCTGCTTGGAGGCCTCTTCTGATTACTCATGTTGATTAGATATGGTTTTGGATAAGCAAGGATGTCAGTAAACCTAAGTTCCAGATGGGTGAAATATTGCTGGGTACGCTGTTGTGTAATTCACACAGCATTCTGCTGATGTTTTCCCCGGTTATCATTGCACAATTTTTGCTGTTGTTCAGAGGAACTGTGTACCTGTGACCTCAGATAAGCCCCTCTCCCTGTCCCTCTGTAGTCCTCGTCTCTGTCCTATCTCTCTGTCACCCTCCGCTGTGCTCATGCTTTGCCTCTGTGGTGTTTTCTCTTTTTCTAGGTGGCTCGTTATTGCAGTCGGTCTGGTCAGAGCATATTTGGCCAAAGGCAGCTATCACAGCCTTTATTACTCAATTGAAAAGCCTTTGAAATTCTTCCAGACAGGAGCCCTCTTAGAGGTAGGTTATGAAATATTTCCATGTTATCGATAACCATAAGAATCTGTCTTATGAAATAAGAAACTTGCTACTAAAATAGACTCAGCCATCTTTTTTGTAAGTGTGATATTTGTCATATTCTTTGAAATTTTGCTGTTAGTTAATCCAAAATGCTGTGCCTGAACCCCCTCTTTCAGCTTTGTAAATATAAAACCCTAGTTAACTTAAGCCAAAACAACTCCTTTTTGGCTTGAAGTTTTCTGGGTATCTTTTGTTAGAAATCACAAAACATGTTATTTTAGGAATGATGTGTGTTTGAACTTTCAAAAGAAGTCCTAGGGTTAATCTTCATCTGGTCACCATGGGGGTGAAGAACTATTGCATAATTATTAAAATAATTCTCCTGCAATGAAAATCCTGCCCCATTTTCTCATTGTGCCACGGAAATGACCTTGCTTCTCAAAGGATGCATATGACAAACTCAGAGGACCAACCAGCTGAGTTTAGGAGGCCCTTCACCAGAGCCTTGGCCACCTGCATGTGGACATGGAGGTGGCCCTCTCTGTTAGTAGAACTGGGACCCCAAACTGTGAAATATTAGATTTTTGAAGTAAATGAATAACTAGGTAGGGACAGGGGGAAAAGCACTAGATTTGGAGTCAGGGAGACCTGAGTTCAAATCCTGCTTCAGACACTTAACTAGCCATGTGACTATAGGCAAGTGACTTAACTTCTCTCACCTTTTAGTTTCCTCATTTCTAAAATGGGGATAATAACAGCATGATACAGAATGCAGGATTGTGAGGATAGAATTATATAAAATATGTAAGCTACTTTGCAAATCTTTAAACACTATATAAATGTTAGCTATTCTAGCTATTAATGATAATGATTCCAATAATTAATAAATCCTCCAGAAAATCCCTATTCTCATACCTTATCATAGTGTGAGTGTGACTATAGAGTCTCAAAAATTATGCCAGTGAAGCAACTGTTTCAACAGGTTCTTCCACAGTAGAATAGTTTCAAGTATGATCCCAACATCAGACTACATCTACTTTATTAGGATGAACCCAACTAAAAATAGATAGCTTTGTCACCAAAAGACTGCACTAGAGATCAAGTCTTAGGCCATGGCAACTCAAGAAAAGGATATTTTGATATTTTGTTGAATCTGTGATCTCTCTGGTATGGGTACATCAGAGGGTAGATAGATATAGATAGGATATAGATAGTTACTTGTCAGCTTTGCCAGCCTCATCGTCCTGGCAGTTCTTGTCCATGTGCTAAATAATGTGTTTACCATAGTTCACACTGACTTCCATATCTCTTAGGAGATATGACACTCTTCTTGTACAGTCTTGGACTAACTGGGGGACCTTACTGGTTCTCTGATCATCTTGATCATTGTTCCATCTCAGGGGTGGGAAACCTGTGGCCTTCTAGGTCCTTAGGTGTGGCCTTTTGACTGAGTCCAAGTTTTACAAAACAGATCCTTTTATTAAGGGGATTTGTAGGGCAGCTAGGTGATACAGTGGATAGAGCATTGGCCCTGGAGTCAGAAGGACCTGAGTTCAAATCCAGCCTCCAACACATAACACTTAACTAGCTGTGTGACTCTGGGCAAGTCACTTAACCCCATTGCCTAGCCAAAGGAAAAGGGGCATGAGGGGGAGATTTGTTCTGTGAAGTTTGGATTCAGTCAAGGGGCCGCACTTGAGGACCTAGAGGGCCACATGTGGCCTCAAGGCCAAGGTTCCCTATCCTTGTTCCATTTGGTAAACTTTTAAATTGTTTACTGAGATGTTTGTGGGAGAGCTAGGGTCCTTGAAGACCTTTCATGTTGCCATCTTAACTAGAAATTATGATCTATGTGTGTCATCTGGGAAATAAACACTCTTCATCCACTTGGTTTTTCTTAGGTGAATTGCTAGGCTGATTCCTTTCAAGTGGTAATGGATTTTGTTGAGGAGGCCCTATAATATTCTTGGATTTGAGACAATCATTAACAATATCATTTCCACACAAGAACAACCCAAGCATCTCATCATCTATAAGGATTCCCTCTTTCATTTGGACCCTTTATAAAACATCTTCCATGACAGTGGTGAATACCTTTGGTATCTCTTTGTTCTGTGCCTTGTTTGATATTGCTAATTGGAAACTCATATAACTGGGTACATTATAAATTCATATTATCCAGTTTCCTGCAGTATGGCAATCCTCTTATCCTTCGTAATTGGTTCCTTATCTCACTTCTTACAGAAGCTATTATTCCAAACTTTATTTTCTTTTCTCAAGCCTCCCACATCTTTCTCACCTCCCTCCTTCCTCTCAGCTGAGGCCCTCTCCTCTTAACTTCACCATGAAAATTGAGACTATTTGGTATGAGATCCCTTCTTTTCACCTCAAGACCCCCTTAAAATAATCCTCTACTTTTTCTTCCTTTTGCTTTGACAATGAGGTGGCTTTTTTTTTACTAAGACCCACTCGTCCTTCTACATGCACCCTTCATCCCTTTCCCTCCTGTCTTCTCTAGCAGATTGCAACCTCAGTCAGTCTCTCTTTCTCTTTAATCTTTGTTATCTTCTTAATGGTTTCTTCTGTACTGCCTTCAAATGTGTTTTGTGTTTAAGTTTTCCCCATCCTTAAAAAACTTTCACTACATTATACCATCCCTTCAGGCTATTATTCTATAGTTCACCTTTCCCCAAACTCTTAGACAAAGCTGTCTGCACCTTCTCATCTCTTATTTCACTTCTCACCCCTTTGCAATCTGGCTTCCGAGGACGTCACTCCACTGACACTGATCTCTTCAAAGTTAGCAAGTGATGTTTTATTTGGCAGATTTGATGGCCTTTTCTTGGTCCTCATCCTGCTAAACCTATCTTCTGCATTTGACATTGCTTCTCACTCTCTTTTTGTTTTGTTTTGCTTGTTTGTTTGTTTGCTTTTTGGCTAGGCAGTGGGGTTAAGTGACTTGCCCAGGGTCACACAGCTGGTAAGTATCAAGTGTCTGAGGGCAGATTTGAACTCAGGTCCTCCTGACTCCAAGGCCCGAGATCTATCTACTGCGCCATGTAGTTGCCCCTTTCACTCTCTTTTCTTGAATTTTTTAGACACTACTTTCTCTTAGTTCTTTTACCTGCCTAACCATTCTTTTCTCCAGTGTCCTTTGCTGGCTCATCATCCAGATGATGCTTATACTGACTATGAGTGCCGCCCAGGATTTTGTACTAGATTGAAAATTCTTTCAAATGATATGACTAGTGTTATTGGATGCATTTTTATGTTCCCTTTTCTTAGTTTAAAAAAAAGGCACTCGTTAAACCCTACATTAAGCTACTTTTTATTTTTATGTTCCCAGATCCTTGTTTTTCTAGCTGCATAACCATAGGCAAGTCACTTAACATCTCTGTGCTTTTGTTTCCTCAGCTTAAAATGGGAATAGTAATAACTGTAGCACCTACCTCATAGAGCTATTTTTTAAAAATTTGTTTGTTTGTTTGTTTTTGGCAAGGCAGTTGGGGTTAAGTGACTTGCCCAGGGTCACACAGCTAGTTATGTTGTGTGTCTGAGACCAGATTTGAACTCAGGTCTTCCTGACTCCAGGGCTGGTGCTCTATCCACTGTGCCACCTAGCTGCCCTCCCCACCGAGCTATTTCATAGCTGAATTGAGAAATCTGTATATCAAGTGCTTTGCAGACTTTTTAAATTGTAAAATGCTATAGAAATGTCAGATGATGAGCATGGTTTTTCTGTGGGTTCAGTGACTCTAAACAACCTCTCTCGTGCCTCTAAATCCAGTTAGAGTAGACTGTTAACAGAATGATTTCAAAGCACTGTGAGGTCCTCAATCCTCTTATATTCAGTATACTGTACTTACTGATGTGAGAAAGTGAACTCTTACAGATTATAAAGACAGGTTATAAAACACAGTTTTAAACAAAAAGGGGCTTTGAATTCCTTGACTTAACCAAAACCCCCATTCCCTGAGCATTCTGATTAACCAAGTTTTTATTGTTTGTTTGTTCTTAAAAGATATATTTTAATTATAGCTGTCAAAAGCTTTGAGAATCACTAACTTTGCTTAACAATATAGACATTTATAGGAGGTCTCAAAATGGAGTTCAGGGAACATCATTATGAACAGGTGAATAGAGTGAATAAACAGTATTTGCAGATGGGCGGTTAGTATCATAGCAGCAATATTATAACCTCAGGTGTTTGAAATTGAACATTTTAAAAGCTTAAGATAGATATAGAGACCAGAGATTGAATAATCTGTCATAATAGTAATTCCAGTTTCTTCCTTCCCCTACATCCAAGATTCTGGGATTTCTCACCTGGCAGAGGGATAGTGCAGGACAAGCTATTCTCACAATTGACTGTAGGATAAAGAAAAGACACGTTAATAAAATATATTTAATAATAAGATGAAAATCTAGTTAAATTTACAGCACTCCCCTGAACTAGCATTCTAGTAATCCTGTCAAAAAAAGGAAAGAAAAAGAAATGGAATTAGTTTAGCGTTATCTCTTCTTTATAAAAGCCACATTGGCTCAGGGAAAGGTCCTTCACTTGTGTGGTGATGTACAAACAACAAAATCATTATGTGCTTATAAGCTTCCAATGCTGTATATGTTATGGGACCAAATTGCTCTTAAAATCCCCTGCAGCTAAGGAGCACCATTGAACACTTTGAACAGAGACATCTTTTGACTTACTTTTGGAAAACAGCAGCACAGAAGCAAGTGCGTATTAAAACATGCCCATACCTCTTTTTAAGGAATTAGTGTGGTGGTTATCTTGTGGTTTCGGTGACAACTTTCAAGTTTACTCACAGACCTAGTAATCAAGTTGCTAGCTTTTCATTGTAAGTGGAGGGGGAAATGGTTTATTTAAAATCCGTTTTGAGATATGTAAAATTCCTACTAAAAGGGAGTTCTTTGAGGTAGGACATTGCAGTGTGTTCTGTACCTTCTGGATTTTCTGCCCCTTTTAAGTGACCAAAATTATT